CTCTGAAGATGCCGGTCACAGGTGCTGGCGAAACGTTAGGAAACAAAACTTCCAGAACACAGCCCGGAAGACCCACACCAGCCATCTTAGCTATCAAAGTTAATCAGAATTGAATGGCAGATATGCATATTAATTATATACATTTATTTGACATGATGAAGAATATTAGAAGGGACTCTTCTCTTCTCTTCTCTTCTCTTCTCTTCTCTTCTCTTCTCTTCTCTTCTCTTTTGAGTCAGATTTGACTCCTGGTGACTACCTGGACAAGTTCATGCAGTTTTCTAGGCAGCATTTTCAGAGGTAGTTTGCCATTGCCTTCTTCTTGAGGCTGAGAAGAATGACCACCCAAGATCACCCAGCTGGTTTTCATGCCTAAGGAAGGACCAGAGTTTCCTTATTTCTAGTCCACCACTTCTAGTCCTTCTTAGTAATATCTATAATGCCGCAAACATCTGTGTGACAGTAGTCAGAGAATGTATACAATTTACACACCCATACTAACTAGACTTTATGCATTGATAATTATCTTCTTTGAAAGTTCTCCAAAAGTTATTTGGAGGTTATGCACACACCCGCAATAGCCAAATATTCTTTTTTTGTACAGTTTTCCTGTAATGATCATGCCTTGTGAATGTGCCCAGTCACACTGGTTTATGTACATTCCACATACATTTCATACTGACATAAGGTACAAACAGTGTCAGGGAAATCAGGAAACAAATAGTGGGAAGAAAATGTATCAGAAGGGAGCGGTTGGCTTGTGATCTGGGAAAGCACATAAACCTATTACAATTTTTTTTTCTGTTTCAGATAATTATCTAGTTCCTTTTGTTGCATTGGTCATAATACAGTGGTACCTCAAGTTACGAACGCCTCTCCTTACGAATTTTTCGAGATACGACCAGCTCTGGCCCCAAAAATTTACCTCGACTTGCGAACTCTGCCTTGAGTCACGAACCGGATCCGCAGCCATTTTCCCTGCTGCCATGCAGTTGCGGCTTCCTGTGGGCAAGATCGCGGTAGCAAGGAGACTTTCGGTGAGGCTTCCGGTGTGTTTTGTGGCATTTGGAAGGTGTTTGGTGTGCTTGTCAGCATGGCTCCAGAGAAAATGCAGAGCAGGCTTGGCAAGAATAAGGCTTTGAAGAAAAAAGTGACGATCGAACT